CGGATTCCAGCAAGGGCCAGGGCTCTGGGGTCCCTGCTCGCTTCTCTGGTTCCAAAGACACGTCCAGTAACGCCGGCTATCTGACCATCTCCGGGGCACTGGCAGAGGATGAGGCTGATTATTACTGTGCTGTGGGGTACAACAATGCTTGTCCCAGTGACATAATCAGATGGGGAAGTGAGACAAAAACCTCCCTCCCCTCCCCCCATCCAGGACATGTGAACTGCCTTAGTCATCTCAACTGCAAAACTTGCAGCTCTCTACCAGCACCGCCCCAGGTCTATGAGGGGATTGTTACTGGTGCTGTCCTATCATAGCTCTCAGGCAACTCCACAAGGAGTCCTCGGCCTGGCTGGGTGAGTGCTGATCCCTCCCCTGATGACAGGTGCATTGGGCCAGAGAGCAGGGGCACCCATTCTGCACCAGATGGAGACACTGGCTGCGCTCACTCTTGTATGGGTGGCCCCTGGCCCTGACAAGCCAAGGAGCAGTAGGGCTGTGGTGTGAGGGTGGGTCCATGACACAATGGGGATCGGTACAGTAGCATGTTTAGGGCCTCAGATTGCCTTTATTCGACTGTGACAGAGAGCTCTCTTGGGCCCTTGCCCTGCTCACACTGTCACTGCTGTGGTTTGACCGGACCACCTCTGTCCTTCACCTTGCTCAGGCTCTCTCTCTCTCTCCGGTGATGGAGCGGGGTGGATCAGAATGTAAAAGAATGACTGTCCTGACTGAGCACCCCCAGGAATACAGAGTGCAGGGCGAGGGGCCACCCACCTGCCCCCCACCCTAACCCCCAAGTAGTTTACACAACAGCTGCAATTCTTCCTTCACAGTCAGACCTGCTGAGGAGCAGGGGAAATACTCCAGCAACCCCCCGAAGGATTACCAACATGTGTGTCCCGATTTGAAATGTGCAGCGAGGGGACAGAGCCCTTCAGGGAGACACCCCAGAAGGTGGTTTTGCTGACAGCCCCGTTGTGCAAAGACCAGGGCATGCGAAAGGCAAAAGCTGCTCTTGGGGAATATTTTTATGAATCTGAAATATGCTGGTTTGAAGATGCTCTATTCCTGCAGGACATTTGGCTTTGACACAGACTGGTTGGAAACCTCACCAAGGTAATTCAAGTTGTCTGAAAAAATGACTGATCTTCCCCCTCCTACTTCCTCCCCCCACCCCACCCCCACCCCGCCGTCACTCCGTGCTCTGCCCCAGGGGACCCACGTGTAGAGGTGGTGATCAGCTGGCCCCTGGCCACCTGCAGGCCCCACGACTCACAGTGACCAACAGGCTCCTCGCCACCTTCAAATGGTGCTGGCCTGAGTCAAAGAGCAGGTGAAAAGGAAGCAGCTGGAAGCACCATCCTAGCCCTTTACCAGCCCCCCAGCACCCCACTGCTCCCCGCTCAGCCGAGCCACCTCCCCCAGCCAGCGACCCCCAAACCATGGCTCTGCCCCTGATTCCACTCCTCCCAGCCCTCACCCCACTCAGCAGCACCCACCCCAGGCAGCATCCATCACCCAGAATCTAGCCATGTTTCTGGTTGTGACCCAAAGCCTGGTGGTATGTGACTGCAAGGGATTGTGGGTTGGGGCCATGACAACAAATCTCAGTTGGTTTTGTTGGCCCAGGTGCAGACAGTTAGAGAGTCTCTGCTCCATGAAGTAAGTGGCACAGCAGGTTGTGCAGACTGGGAGCTCCTCAGCTCCAGGATTCTCCCTA